ATAATGCCAAATGTGTCATATCTGATTCATACGGTTTCTGAAGTCTTTTGGATCTGAGACTTTTTGCATCATTCAGTGGTAAAAGCTTTGCTCAAACCCCTGTTGAACACATTCAGATATACCTGATAACAGCCAGTACAAGACTACACCAAAATACATTTTTTACTTATTGCACGCTAATTTGATCAAAATAATTTCTGTTTTTTTCCTTCATATGTTGTTGAGGGGCCAAAGAAAGACTTCAGACCAAAAAAATCCAATATTCTTCCTATTTTTCTTGGATCAGGCTTTTAAGGGTTAAAGTTCGTTTTCTGTTTTCAGCCCATTTAACAGAAGCTTTTTATGTTCTTTTGAGTTGTGTAGAGACGCTCTTTAATAAATATTGTTCTTGATGATAAATAGAGGCTCAGGACGGCCGGCAGCAGATTTAGAAGAGGCGGAGGTGACCGTTGAGGTCTGATGGGATCAGATTTTGTGATCAGTGTCCACTTAATAGCCGGTTTGTGGTTCACTTCCATCTCTCTGGCTGCTGTGCCACCAGTCCGGGATGTTTTCCTTCCCCCGTCTGGGGCCGGTGGCGAGCCAGGGCTGGCTGCCTGTGAGGAGGCGTTCGCCTCGACAGGGCGAACCACATTGCTGTTGTGTTGACTTTGGCTGCCGCGCAGTTTCAGGTTTAGCATTTTTGGGCATTTCCTCGCAGAAGCAACCTTCACCCTCCTCCCACAGACACGCAGGGCCCCACCTGCCCGGCTCTATCCAAACAGGCCGCTTCACGGACGCCGTTTGTTTATTCACGGGCACAAAAAGGCCTGATATTAACATAATAGCTTAATCAGGGTGTTCCCATAGTGACTGTTTTAACACGCAGCCTGAGTAATGATAGCCGAGGAGCACCTCTGTGACAGCGTAATGACCCGTCTGTCTGTCTGTCTTTGGCTCGCTGCGCGCACAATATTGCTCACAGTCATTTTATCGTAATTAGGCAAACTGTCAGAAGTGTGTGTGTGTGTGTGCGTGTGTGTGTGTGTGTGTGTGTGTGTGCGTGTGTGTGTGTTTTTGCTGTCAGACCAGCTCTGCTGCGGTTTTGGCACCGGCCTGCCTCCATCTCTCCACACCGGTGCAGTCAGAAGCTTTCTATCCAG